CATGAGGAAACTTCCTGTACACGACAGAATGAAGTGAACTGAAACTCAGAAGGCTGATCAAGACTAATGTTTAACCTAGCACAGGGCTTTATCTGTTTCCAGCCGACTCGGTCATCTCAACCTCTCACATTTACCACAAACAGAGGGTTTTTAATTCCACCAGAGCACATAAGTTTTCATGAATGTACGCCCTCTCATAGGCAGTGGGAACACCACTATGAAAGAGACCATATGAACAATGCTTGCTTTTTCATTTAGAACATGTACTACTGAAAAGTGATGACTATCATGACTTTAATGAACTCAGAACAGTGGCACTGATAATGATATAACGTATAATCAGATTACCGGACATCTGTGTCAATCACACAGTCAGTCACAAATTAGCCACAGGTAAACGAGCTAGATTGCTTAGCAACTGCTGCCTAGCAGCCTTTTTTTCTTGTGACCTGTGCAGCTGTAAGCTAGTGCTGCCGCTCAGTGGTAGACTGCCTGTATGTGCTTCTTAGTCTATGAAGGGTGGAACAAGGATAGATAGTGGTAATCGCAAAAATCACAAAAAAATACACAAAGCCTGGAAAACTGACCCTTTAGTGTGAGGATAACACTTAGAACAGAACATTAATAAAATGGTATCTGAATGTTCAATCAACTATTTTGAAAATAAACACTGCAACCTGATTGGTCGGAGAGTGACTGCTCCAGACCTCTTGGTAGGCTGGTTGCCTGGCAACACATACTGGTAGGTGAATTGGAGGGGGAGAGGGGAGGGGGTGGGGCTCTGGGCTCTTAAGGGGGAGGTAGCATTCTGGAGCAGCAGGCAGACTAGGGAAATACCTGGCATAACGCCCAAATAAACAAACTGAGAAGGAAAGAGAGAGCGATGGAAAAGGGAATAGGCTGAGAGTCTTTTAAGGTATCGGCGGAGAGTGCAGATCACAGAGAGTGCAGATCACAGAGTTGTTGTAAATAAATGGGAAGTCTCTCAATCTTTCTGGGTTTTTTTTGTGAAGGGAGGTGGTTTATCTGAGAAATAAACATCCATTGTACTCTCTTGTTGTTAACATGCTATACAAACACTGAATCCTACCAGGTGAGATGAAAAGATGTTGTAGCATACACTTAGCTAAATGTATTTGGAAAGTAAAGACAAATTGCATGCAAGTATTATGTAAAGAAATTAAGTGTCGTTTTGACTAGACCTACTGTGACAAGAGAACCAAAATAGAGTAGAGGCCAAAAGACAGAAAAAACGAGTACAACACAGGACTTTAACTGTAACAGATGATAAGGGAATAGAGGAGGTGACATAGAAAAGTAACAAATGAACAGGATACAGGCCAGTTTGGAAAGCTTAGATAAGAGAGAGAGAAATAAATAGTGTGCGTGTGTGTGTGTGTGTGTGTGTGTGTGTGTGTGTGTTTTATGTGTGTATAGATGCGGGTCTGGTGAGTGTGTAAATGTTTCTCAGAAAGTTTAAACTAGCTGCTATAACCACAAAAAGTATGAAGGGTAAGAAGAGTAGCTTAAACCAGAGGAGACCACAAAAAAGTTAGTGGGGCAGAAGGTAGAGAAGTAAATGGAAAGAGCATGAGAGGAATAAGAGAAGGAAAATAGGGAAGAAAGAGAAGAGGAAGAGTAGGGCCTGCTGGTAGCTAGGGCGTGGGGAGTGTGGTGGTGGCCTGCTGGTAGCTAGGGCGTGGGGAGTGTGGTGGTGGCCTGCTGGTAGCTAGGGCGTAGGGAGTGTGGTGGTGGCCTGCTGGTAGTTAGGGCGTAGGGAGTGTGGTGGTGGCCTGCTAGTAGCTAGGGCGTAGGGAGTGTGGTGGTGGCCTGCTGGTAGGTAGGGGGTAGGGAGTGTGGTGGTGGCCTGCTGGTAGCTAGGGAGTAGGGAGTGTGGTGGTGGCCTGCTGGTAGCTAGGGCGTAGGGAGTGTGGTGGTGGCCTGCTGGCAGCTATGGCGTAGGGAGTGTGGTGGTGGCCTGCTGGTAGGTAGGGGGTATGGAGTGTGGTGGTGGCCTGCTGGTAGCTAGGGCGTAGGGAGTGTGGTGGTGGCCTGCTGGTAGCAAGGGCGTAGGGAGTGTGGTGGTGGCCTGCTGGTAGCTAGGGCGTAGGGAGTGTGGTGGTGGCCTGCTGGTAGCTAGGGCGTAGGGAGTGTTGTGGTGGCCTGCTGGTAGCTAGGGCGTAGGGAGTGTTGTGGTGGCCTGCTGGTCGGTAGGGGGTAGGGAATGTGGTGGTGGTCTGCTGGTAGCTAGGGCCTAGGGAGTGTGGTGGTGGCCTGCTGGTAGCTAGGGCATAGGGAGTGTGGTGGTGGCCTGCTGGTAGCTAGGGCGTAGGGAGTGTGGTGGTGGCCTGCTGGTAGCTAGAGCATAGGGAGTGTGGTGGTGGCCTGCTGTAGCTAGGGCGTAGGGAGCATGGTGGTGGCCTGCTGGTAGTTAGAGCGTAGGGAGCGTGGTGGTGGCCTGCTGGTAGGTAGGGCGTAGGGAGGGTGGTGGTGGCCTGCTGGTAGCTAGGGCGTAGGGAACGTTGTGGTGGCCTGCTGGTAGCTAGGGCGTAGGGAGCGTGGTGGTGGCCTGCTGGTAGGTAGGGAGTAGGGAGCGTGGTGGTGGCCTGCTGTTATCTAGGGCGTAGGGAGCGTGGTGGTGGCCTGCTGGTAGTTAGGGCGTAGGGAGTGTGGTGGTGGCCTGCTGGTAGGTAGGGCGTAGGGAGCGTGGTGGTGGCCTGCTGGTAGCTAGGGCGTAGGGAGTGTGGTGGTGGCCTGCTGGTAGCTAGGGTGTAGGGAGTGTTGTGGTGGCCTGCTGGTAGATAGGGCGTAGGGAGTGTGGTGGTGGCCTGCTTTTCGGTAGGGGGTAGGGAATGTGGTGGTGGTCTGCTGGTAGCTAGGGCGTAGGGAGTGTGGTGGTGGCCTGCTGGTAGCTAGGGCGTAGGGAGTGTGGTGGTGGCCTGCTGGTAGCTAGGGCATAGGGAGTGTGGTGGTGGCCTGCTGGTAGCTAGGCGTAGGGAGTGTTGTGGTGGCCTGCTGGTAGCTAGGGCGTGTGGTGGTGGCCGCTGGTAGCTGGGTGTAGGGTGTTGTGGTGGCTGTGTAGCTAGGGGTGGGAGTGGGGTGGTGGCTGGTAGCTGGGCTAGGGAGTGTGGTGGTGGCCTGCTGGTAGGGAAGGGAGTGGTGGTGCCTGCTGGTAGCTAGGGCGTAGGGAGTGTGGTGGTGGCTGCTGGTAGCTAGAGCATAGGGAGTGTGGTGGTGGCCTGCTGTAGCTAGGGCGTAGGGAGCATGGTGGTGGCCTGCTGGTAGTTAGAGCGTAGGAGGGGTGGTGGCCTGCTGGTAGGTAGGGCGTGGGAGGGTGGGTGGCGGCTGTAGCTAGGGCGTAGGGAGTACGTTGTGGTGGCCTGCTGGTAGCTAGGGGTAGGAGGCTGTGGTGCTGGCTAGGTAGGTAGGGAGTAGGGAGCGTGGTGGTGGCGTGGTGATCTAGGGTGGAGTGGTGGTGCAGCGTGTAGTAGGGCGTAGGAGTGTGGTGTGGCCTGCTGGTGGTAGGGCGTAGGGAGGTGGTGGTGGCCTGCTGGTAGCTAGGGCGTAGGGAGGTGGTGGTGGCCTGCTGGAGCTAGGGTGTAGGGAGTGTTGTGGTGGCCTGCTGGTAATAGGGTAGGGATGTGGTGGTGGTGTTCGGAGGGGGTAGGGATGTGGTGGTGGTTGGTAGCTGGCGTAGGGTAGTGGTGGGGTGTGGTGGGTGCTAGGGCGAGTAGGGAGTGGGGGGTGGCCTGCTGGTAGCTAGGCATAGGGAGTGGGTGGTGGCTGCTGGTAGCTAGGCGTAGGAGTTGTGTGGCTGAGTAGGGCTGTGGTGGTGGCCTCTGGTAGCTAGGGCGTAGGGTGTTGTGGTGGCCTGCTGGTAGCTAGGGCTAGGGGTGTGTGGTGGCTGGTAGCTAGGGTAGGGAGTGGGTGGTGGCCTGCTGGTAGCTAGGGCGTGGGAGGTGGGGTGGCCTGCTGGTGTAGAGCGTAGGGTGGGTGGTGGTGGTAGGGATAGGAGTGGAGTGTGTGGTGACTGCGGTAGAGGGTGAGGTGTGGTGGTGGCCTGCTGGTAGCTAGGGCGTAGGGAGTGTGGTGGTGGCCTGCTGGTGCTAGGCTAGGGAGTGTGGTGGTGGCCTGCTGGAGGTAGGGCGTAGGGAGTTGGTGGTGGCCGCTGGTAGGTAGGGCTAGAGGGAGTGTGGTGGTGGCCTGCTGGTAGCTAGGGCGTGGGAGTGGTGGGGCTGGTAGGGGGCGTAGGGAGTGGTGGTGGCCTGCGTGTAGGTAGGGTAGGAGTGTTGTGGTGGCCTGCTGGTAGGTAGGGCGTAGGGAGGTGTGTGGTGCTGTGGGCTAGGCGTATGGCTGTGGTGGTGGCCTGCTGGTAGCTAGGGGTAGGGAGTGTGGTGGTGGCCTGTGGTAGCTAGGGGTGGGGTGGGGTGTGGCCTGCGGTAGCAGGCGTAGGGAGGTGGTGGTGGCCTGGGTAGTAGGGGTAGGGAGTGTGGTGGTGGCCTGCTGATAGCTAGGGCGTAGGGAGTGTGGTGGTGGCCTGCTGGAGCTAGGGCGTAGGGAGTGTGGTGTGGCTTGCTGGTAGTAGGAGGGGAGGGATGGTGGCTGCTGGTAGATAGGGCGTAGGGAGTGGGTGGTGGTGCTGGAGCTAGGGCGTAGGGAGCGTTTGTGCGCTGTGTAGGTAGGGCGTAGGGGGTGTGTGGTGGTCTGCTGGTAGCTAGGCGTAGGAGCGTGGTGGTGGCCTGCTGGTAGGTAGGGCGTAGGGAGGTGGTGGTGGCCTGCTGGTAGCTAGGGCGTAGGGAGCGTTGTGGTGGCCTGGGTAGCTAGGGCGTAGGGAGGTGGTGGTGGTGGCCTGCTGGTAGGTAGGGCGTAGGGAGGTGGTGGGCTGGATAGGGTAGGGCGTAGGGGCGTGGGTAGTGGCTGCTGTTATCTAGGGCGTAGGGAGCGTGGTGGTGGCTGCTGGTAGGTAGGGCGTAGGGTAGCGTGGTGTGGCCTGCTGGTAGCTAGGGATAGGGAGTGTGGTGGTGGCTGCTGGTAGTGGCGTGGGAGTGTGTGGTGGTGCGAGTAGGGAGGGCGTAGGTGGCTGTGGTGGCTACTGTAGGTAGAGGTGGTGGGTGGCTGTGGTAGTAGGGCGTAGGGAGTGGTGTGGCTGTTAGTAGGGCGTAGGAGTGTGTGGTGGCCTGCTGGTAGGTAGGGCGGTAGGGAGTGTGTGGTGGTGCCTGCTGTAGCTGGAGGGCGTAGGTGGTGTGGTGGTGGGCCTGGTGTAGGTAGGGCGTAGGAGTAGGGTGGGTGTGGCTGTGGTCGGTAGCTAGGGCGTAGGGAGTGTGGTGGTGGCCTGCTGGTAGTAGGGCTGGGGAGTGTGGTGCTGTGGTGCAGCGTGGTAGGTAGGTGCGTAGGGATGTGGTGGTGGCGTGGTAGTAGGGGTGGTGGCCTGCTGGTGTGGGCTGGTGGTAGTAGGCGCCTGGGAGGGTAGGGGCTGTGGTTGCTGTGTGCTGGCGTAGGGAGTGTGGTGGTGGCCTGCTGGTAGCTAGGGCGTAGGGTGTTGTGGTGGCCTGCTGGTAGCTAGGGCGTAGGGAGTGTGGTGGTGGCCTGCTGGTAGCTAGGGCGTAGGGAGTGTGGTGGTGGCCTGCTGGTAGCTAGAGCGTAGGGAGTGTGGTGGTGGCCTGCTGTTAGGTAGGGCGTAGGGAGTGTGGTGGTGGCCTGCTGGTAGCTAGGGCGTAGGGAGTGTGGTGGTGGCCTGCTGGTAGCTAGGGCGTAGGGAGTGTGGTGGTGGCCTGCTGGTAGCTAGGGCGTAGGGAGTGTGGTGGTGGCCTGCTGGTAGGTAGGGCGTAGGGAGTGTGGTGGTGGCCTGCTGTTAGCTAGGGCGTATGGGGTGTGGTGGTGGCCTGCTGGTAGCTAGGGCATAGGGATTGTGGTGGTGGCCTGTTGGTAGCTAGGGCGTAGGGGAGTGTGGTGGTGGCCTGCTGGTAGCTAGGGCGTAGGGTGTGTGGTGGTGGCCTGCTGGTAGGTAGGGCGTAGGGAGTGTGGTGGTGGCCTGCTGGTAGCTAGGGCGTAGGGAGTGTGGTGGTGGCCTGCTGGTAGCTAGGGCGTAGGGAGTGTGGTGGTGGCTTGCTGATAGCTAGGGCGTAGGGAGTGTGGTGGTGGCCTGCTGGTAGCTAGGGCGTAGGGAGTGTGGTGGTGGCCTGCTGGTAGGTAGGGCGTAGGGAGTGTGGTGGTGGCCTGCTGTTAGCTAGGGCGTATGGGGTGTGGTGGTGGCCTGCTGGTAGCTAGGGCATAGGGATTGTGGTGGTGGCCTGTTGGTAGCTAGGGCGTAGGGAGTGTGGTGGTGGCCTGCTGGTAGCTAGGGCGTAGGGTGTGTGGTGGTGGCCTGCTGGTAGGTAGGGCGTAGGGAGTGTGGTGGTGGCCTGCTGGTAGCTAGGGCGTAGGGAGTGTGGTGGTGGCCTGCTGGTAGCTAGGGCGTAGGGAGTGTGGTGGTGGCTTGCTGATAGCTAGGGCGTAGGGAGTGTGGTGGTGGCCTGCTGGTAGCTAGGGCGTAGGGAGTGTGGTGGTGGCCTGCTGGAAGCTAGGGTGTAGGGAGCGTTGTGGTGGCCTGCTGGAAGCTAGGGCGTAAGGAGCGTTGTGGTGGCCTGCTGGTAGCTAGGGCGTAGGGAGCGTGGTGGTGGCCTGTTGTTATCTAGGGCGTAGGGAGCGTGGTGGTGGCCTGCTGGTAGCTAGGGCATAGGGAGCGTGGTGGTGGCCTGCTGGTAGCTAGGGCCTAGGAAGTGTGGTGGTGGCCTGCTAGTAGGTAGGGCGTAGGGAGTGTGGTGGTGGCCTACTGGTAGGTAGGGCGTAGGGAGTGTGGTGGTGGCCTGCTGGTAGGTAGGGCGTAAGGAGTGTTGTGTTGGCCTGCTGGTAGGTAGGGCGAAGGGGGTGTGGTGGTGGCCTGCTGGTAGCTAGAGCGTAGGGAGCGTGGTGGTGGCCTGCTGGTAGCTAGGGCGTAGGGAGTGTGGTGGTGGCCTGCTGGTAGCTAGGGCGTAGGAAGTGTGGTGGTGGCCTGCTAGTAGGTAGGGCGTAGGGAGCGTGGCGGTGGCCTGCTGTTAGGTAGGGCGTAAGGAGCGTGGTGGTGGCCTGCTGGTAGGTAGGGCGTAGGGAGCGTGGTGGTGGCCTGCTGGTAGGTAGGGCGTAGGGAGCGTGGTGGGGGCCTGCTGGTAGGTAGGGCGTAGGGAGTGTGGTGGTGGCCTGCAGGTAGCTAGGGCGTAGGGAGTGTGGTGGTGGCCTGCTGGTAGCTAGGGCGTAGAGAGTGTGGTGGTGGCCTGCTGGTAGCTAGGGCGTAGGGAATGTGGTGGTGGCCTGCTGGTAGCTAGGGCGTAGGGAGTGTGGTGGTGGCCTGCTGGTAGCTAGGGCGTAGGGAGTGTAGTGGTGGCCTGCTGGTAGCTAGGGTGTAGGGAGTGTGGTGGTGGCCTGCTGGTAGGAAAGGCGTAGGGAGTGTGGTGGTGGCCTGCTGGTAGGTAGGGCGTAGGAAGTGTGGTGGTGGCCTGCTGGTAGGTAGGACGTAGGGAGTGTGGTGGTGGACTGCTGGTAGCTAGGGCGTAGGGGTCACCAGCCCCTTGGGATTGGGCTGGTGACTGGCTGGTGCAGGTGGTGTCCCAGGGAGATCAGATGGGTATACTACAAAGCAGAATCAATGAGTTAGCCAGCTAACTTGCTGAAATATTTTGAAAAAAACATTATATTAAAAAAAAAAGATAACCTTGAAATGGGCATGGTCTAATTGACTCAACAACCAAAACCACATATCCAAGTGTAGCTTTCTTATTGAACTAGACAATCTATAGTTATTTGTAGTTGTTTATTAGAGTTTGTTGGCTAAGTCATTAAACCTGCTTTGTAGGATACCCTTCTGGAGCATTTGTCAGGAGGAGGAAATTAGGTTGTTGTGATTAAAGGGAAGGTTTCTATGGCAATGAAGCGAGCCATGCGCACAGATAATTTAGTTGGGAGTGGAGGGGGCTCAGTAAGAGTTGGGTTTCAAAGCAAACAACCGTCTCCATCTCATCTCTTCCCTCCCTTTTTTTTCATAGCTCCTCTTTTAACCTTTATAATCTGTTTTCATAGCTCCTCTTTTAACCTTTATAATCTGTTTTCATAGCTCCTCTTTTAACATGTATAATCTGTTTACATAGCCACACAGTGGAGCTTCGGAGTGAATCATGCACATGCAACCACACCTCCTCCAGTGACAGACATATATGTCAGATCTGTCTTTATGTAAACCTTCTATACATTGACCTAACATGTCTCCTCCCCATGTTCATTTATACAAGGATGTCCCTAAAAGTAGAAAGACGTGTATAAGTCATGTGTAAGTGTGTGTAATCCACGTGTGACCATTCCATGGAGACCTTTCAAAGCTAGCCTAACTAAAGTAACACTCTTTGTTGAATGTTGATTATGTTGGATAAACTCAGACAAAAAGTTTCTTAAAATACATCTATTCCTTTCCTAATGTTCCTATTGTATGGAGGAAGTGGCTGCAGAGGAGACTACATGGTGTTTAAATAGAAAGATTCAAACAAAGTGTTTGGAATTTTATCTTTGGACCACAGTAAAATGTTATAATTTATGTAGTTCCTTATCTATTTGAAAAAGAGAGAAAACATATCCTACAAATATTGATGATCAAAGTTTCAATTAACCTACAATGATTGGAAAAACAGTGGTCTGCTGCCCCCTTGTGTTCAGTTGGAGCACTTCAGTATCAGAGAGCAGGGCAGCAGGGGGTGTATTGAGACCAGACTTGAATAGTCAAAGCCAGATGGCCTGTGACACATCAAAAGACCAGCTGGCTGCGAGACTGAGAGAAGTCTTTACATCTCCTAACCTAATTAGTTCAAGCTAAACAAATCGCACTTATATTGTAACAGACCATGATGATGCAGCATCATATTATTAAAAAGGAGATATAGAAGTACAAGTAATACTATCTATCATATATTAAATCAGAACTAAAATGGTGACATTTGGTCATTTGATCATGGTTGAAATTCAGGTGATAACACTAGATAACAAAATCTGCTATTCTTCCTTGGATGAGGTCCTTCACCTGGTGGGGGCGGCTAGAAAGGTCTAGATGGGATATAGATTTTGTCAAATTGACGTCAAAAGTATATATTATTTTGGCATTTTAGCTAATCCTAACCGTTATCCTAACCTTAACCTAATTCTCCTAACCTGCTATGTTAATTCTCCTAAGCTGCTGCGTAAGTTCTCCTAACCTGCTACGTTAATTATCCTAAACTGCTGCGTAAATTTTGACCAAGCTGTATCTCTTCTAGACAAAACCGTCTGGACATGGCTATCTCTGTGTGTGCCGCTCCTCTCAGGCCTCTAGGGAGCGCCGACGGCTGTTGGATGGAACACTCATCTTTCTCCTCGCTGCTGCGTGACGCATTGATCCCTCCTTTAGCAAGACCTGTGGAAAATGTACATATAACAGGCACATAGGCGAAAGCATTCATATTGAAAGTACAGTGCATTACGTCACAATGGTTTCAACTTCACTGACAGCCTTATTAGTTACGTAGGTGATCAAGGTGAAAGAAAATACAATTAAAGATCAAATGTTTCACACCACAAACATCTTATTGTACAAGGATATTTAAGGGAAGTCTGTGTATTAAGCTGTAAGTGAATATTTGTCATAGCTCACCCCTTTCATGATTCTCTTTCGTAGTTCTCCCTGGGAGAGAGGCCGCTCTTCCTCATCAGTGAGAGGAGACTCCTCTGTGTCATAGTCATCTCTGAGGAACATAATCACACACACCAGGTAAGACACATAGCCACACAGAGTAAATAAGCTAAAATCATAACACAAAAGTACCAACCCAGTGACTGGAGGCTGTATGATGATATTTTGTCTGGGAACCTCAGGGTTCTGACCCAGTAGAAATCGGGCCAGGTCTTTTGGGTCATACTCCTTATCAAGATCCTGTGAGAAGAAACAGAGAGAGGGTTACATACATAGTACAGTCTATGATGTGTGTGTACATACAGACAGATAGTAGACTGGTCCCAGATCTGTTTGTGCTGTCTTGCCAACTACTATGGTCATTGGCTTGAATTGGCAAGACAGCACAACAGATCTGGGACCAGGCTGGACGGATATGGGCCAATAGGAGTGATTCTGGGTGTGCATGTTACTTACCCTGGAGCTGAGGAAGGCCTGCATGGTGAGCAGCTGGTTGGTCCTCTGCTCCACCAGACCCAGGTAGGTCATGATGTTGTTCTCCCGTATGCCAGAGGACGAGCCCAGCAAGTCCTCTACCAGCGAGCGATCACAGTCCATCTTATGGAACACACTGTTCACTCCTACCCCATCACAAACACTAACAGTCAGGCAAACTATGAACATCATGACTTCAGTATGAAGGCCAATTTTTCCTTTCATTATACACTGACTATACCAAACATTAGGAACAGCTTCCTAATATTGAGTTGCACTCCCCCTTTTGCCCTCAGAACAGCCTCAATTCGTCGGGGCATGGACTCTACAAGGTGTCGAAAAGTGTTCCTCTGGGATGCTGACCCATGTTGACTCCAATGCTTCCCAGGGTTGTGTCAAGTTGGCTGGATGTCCTTTGGGTGGTGGACCATCCTTGATACACACGGGAAACTGTTGAGCGTGAAAACCCCAGCAGCGTTGCAGTTCTTGACACAAACCGGTGTGCCTGGCACGTACTACCATACCCCATTCAAAGGCACTTACATATTTTGTCTTGCCCATTCACCCTCTGAATGGCACACATACACAATCCATGTCTCAATTGTCTCAAGGCTTAAAAATCCTTCTTTAACCTGTCACCTCCTCTTCATCTACACTGATTTGAAGTGGATTTAAGTGACATCAATAAGGGATCATAGCTTTCACCTGGTCAAGCTATGTCATGGAAAGAGCACGTGTTCTTAATGTTTTGTATACTCAATGTAACTCTAACATGTCACTGTATATGTGATGTATGAAAGGTGATCAAGGTATGTTTAGCTCTGTACGTATGTGTGTGTGTGTGTGTGAGAGAGAGCAAGAGAGAGAGAGAGAGAAAGAGTGATAGAGAGAAAGACAGAGTGAGAGAAACAGAGAGTGAGAGAGAGTGAGAGACAGAGAGACACAGAGAGAGAGAAACACACAGAGAGAGAGCGAGAGACACACACAGAGAGAGAGAGACACACACAGAGAGAGAGCGAGAGAGAGAGACAGAGAGAATCAGAGAGAGAGGTTTAGAGTACCTGTCTTTATCTGGTCCAGGATCTTGCTCACAGCGCTGGCCAGGACTTCATTCTCGTGTGCCTGAGACTCTGTGTCTCTCTGCTGCTGATCAAGGTCTCTCAACAAAGCATGGTGTTCCTGCTCCTGCTGCTGCCCCGTCACATTAAACTGCTCCATCTCCCTCTGGGTCTGACACACACACGTTAGTGATGCGCGCGGGTCAGCTGTTTGTTCACCTGGTCCCACCCGTAATTGCTAATAGCCCATCCGCCGCCGCCTGACTATATGTGATAAAGTGAAAAGCCTTTTCAGATAGGCCTATGTTTCTGCTTATAATTTCCGAAATTTTGGTAGGCTATTTGATATTCAACTTGTCTATAATAAGATACTGTACATCCCACTGGGCACCGACGTCAATTCAACGTCTTTTGACGTTGGTCCAATGTAACTTCATTGAGATGACTTGGAAACAACGTTGAATCAACCAGTGTGTGCCCAGTGGGATGCAGCTTCTCTTCTGTCATAATTTTTTGCCGTAGAAGACTAAATAAACCCTTGCTCACCAGAATAATGTCATAAATCAATAGAATGAATGCTTCAATCTAGTTGACATGGTAATGTCTGTTTTTCTCTTTCCTCTTTGCTACTCTGCTTCTCTCGCGCAGCAAAGACGTTTAGGGACCGGCACTGCTATCATCCTCTTCACCACTTCACCAAATCCCTTCCTGTTATTTATTTTCATCTCTCCATTTCGCACCTTTTCTCTTATTGAATTAAACTCCAACATTGTCCTTTTTGCCTCAGTGGATAGACGTTAATTTTTTCTGCCCAAGTTCTCGAAAGCATTTGGCGATTGGTATGTGTTTGGCACGCTACAGTTAGCCCTAAAGCTTAGGCTTAGGCTGCGCAAAACGCCAAATAAAAAGAATGAAAGAAAAACCTCAATGTAGCCTATAGATATGAATTGCACGAGAATTATACATTTATGGATTTTTTATGCATTGTTCTCTTTATTCAACCCACCCCCACACATCCACACAATATCTCATGACCCTAAACCCACCCGCCCCGCAGATATAACCCTGGGGACTACGGGTTATGAGTCAACCCACAGCATGTGCACACAGTCAGAATACATGGAGGACTGAACTGTGCATTCAAGGTAAGCAACTTCATACTGACCTGATTAATTTGGTCCCTCAAAGCTTCAGCCTCGTTGTTTTGCTCATTCACATAGTTGAAGAGGGCAAAGTTCTGATCTTCGACTACACAGCAATAAAACCACAAAAGGTGCATGAACACATATCAACTGCACACAGAGGTAATAACAGACAGAGTTTGGAGTTTGTATCATATTAATATGTGTGTGTGTGAAGGTCAGGACTGACCCTGGATAAACCTGGTGACCAGCATGTCCAGGTCGTCCTCTCCTGTGATATTCTGGATCCTCTGGAAGACTTCCTCCAGTGTGTCCACTGACTCCTCCCCAGAGTCCATCCTCCTCTGTTCCTTCACCTCTGAAACACACAGCCATTATTATACTCCTCCTCCTCATCATCATCATCATCCTCATCATCATCAGCAACATATTTTTCATCATTATCATCACTTTCATTCTAGTATTTTCCTATCACTCTCAAGCCACATATCACTCTCAAGTCACATATCACTCTCAAGCCACATATCGCTCTCAAGCCACATATCGCTCTCAAGTCACATATCGCTCTCAAGCCACATATCGCTCTCAAGCCACATATCGCTCTCAAGCCACATATCGCTCTCAAGCCACATATCACTCTCAAGCCACATATCACTCTCAAGCCACATATCGCTCTCAAGCCACATATCGCTCTCAAGCCACATATCACTCTCAAGCCATGTCTGTCCCCTGTACAGTATATAGCCTCATTATTGTTATTTTATTGTGTTACTTATTTTTTATTTATTTATTTAGTAAATATCTTCTTAACTTTATTTTCTTAAAACTGCATTGTTGATTAAGGGCTTGTAAGTAAGCATTTCACGGTAAGGTGAATACCTGTTGTATTCGGCGCATGTGACAAATACAATTTTATAGCAAACTCCAATATGAAACATCACAAGCATGCATGCGTGCATGACTGCGTGTGTTCTAATGCTCAGTCATACCATGCCTGCGGCCCAGTTCTTGCCCCTCATCCTGGCCACTCCTCTCACTGCACTTGGTGGTCATGAACTCTTTGAGGCGGCGTTCGTGTGCGATCACCCTCTCCAGCTCCTTCATCTCAGCGCTGTACTGAGACAGGTCCTTTACTGCCTTCTCCCTCATCATGATCATCTTAGACTGGGCCTCCACCCTGGCACAGAGAGGCAGATGGAACCATGGATATATACAGTATGAAACCTAAGTACATGTGCAAACCCATAGATATACGCACACACACAAACTGGTTGCAACAAATACAGTAGCCTACACTTGAAATATGTAAGTAAGGATTCTTACACACATCAAGCAGGCCAGACACATTCAACTCTCATTTCTCACCTGACATCGTATGCAGCAGTGGAGAGACTGACCATGTCTCCGATGTCTTTCCGGATCTCCTGCAGCTCCTAGAACAGGAAGCAGAAAAGGGGCAGGGTTTAACAGGAGTCATGTGACCTCTCTCTGTCCCTGGATCTGATTGGTCTCAGTGTGACCCCTGACCTTGTCCAGTCTGCGGTGGAGCTGCTGGAAACGGACCCGCTCCACACGCAGACTCTCCAGGTCTTCTCTCAGGTGGCTGTTTTTAGTCAGCTGCTTGTTGAAGCGAATAAGGGCCTGCAACAGTAATAGTGGACAGGTCTCAGTGATGTGAAGAGACTAACAGAGAACGGATCATTGACAGTGTTTGACAATATTAGGCAGCAGGCTGTACTAAAGTACTGTGTTTAACAGTGCTATTCAATTCCGTGTTGGGCTGAGTGTGACAAGACATGCTACTTACTCTATCCAGTTTGTTCTCCAGGGTGCGTGATGCCTTCTGAGTGTGGCGGGACTGGGACTTTTGGCTGAGAGTAGCAGTGACCTCGCCTCTCCTCAGCTCCGCCAGCTTTCTCTCCATGATGGAGATCTGGCTCCAGCACACAGATATGGCATCTTCAACTCACTAAGGGGGTGAAGGTTCTGTGTGTGTGGCTGTGTGTGTGTGTGTGGCTTTGTGTGTGTGGCTGTGTGTGTGTGTGTGTGTGTGTGTGTGTGTGTGTGTGTGTGAACCTCCTGTACCTCCTGCTCCAGCTCTGCCTGACTCTGCCTCTCCATCTCCACCTCGTCCCCCACCTCGTCCCTCTGTTCCAGCATGGAGCGCAGGGTCTGGGCGTCCTCACTGTCCTGCTGCCGCCGGGATAGGCTCTCAGACACACAGAGACTACGCTGTAGCTCCTCCTGTTCCTTCTCAAGATTCTCTATCTCCTGCCTACATAATACACATACAAAAACACAGACTCACAACGAGCATAGACATTCATACATACAGCGTTTCACACACAGACACTGTGATGGTGATTTGTGGTGTACCGGTGGACTCACCGCTGTCTGCGGATGTGATCTTGAGACTGGATGCTGTAGGCCAGCCGGTCTCCCCCCATGATCCGGAACTGTCTCTGCAGTTTGCCCATCTCTGTTTCAGCTGGAGCGCAGTACACCAAATGCAAATGTTTACATTTCTGAGAAAAAGTTAGTTGGTGAATTAATTAGCTAACCCTTTTGCTGGTCATACAAAACACATACTATACCTATGCCATCAATATCCATGTCGCTGCTGTCCGAGTGGACACTGGTGGCTGATCTTCCTCGAGGCATGGTTTAAATTGTACTCTGGGAACAGTAACCTATTAGCTAGACAAATCAGTGGTTGCACTTTGTTTGAGGAAGATATACGTTATCCTAGCTACTTCAAACAATGATAGGTGGGGCACTTTTCTATCCCTCCTGATTTACCATTTCACATATGAAAAGGAAGCAGCAAAACATTTGCAGCTAGCTAGCTAGCTAACGTTAGATAGCTAGTTTGCCAAAACAGTGGCACCACCATTTAGGCTTGCTAGCTAGCTAGACACTCAGCCCTGTTTAGAAATAGGTAATCTCGGATTCAACTACAGCTTCCAAAAAAGTACATAAGGGATGTCCAATGTTGTAAGCTAATTTACCAATACACTACAGAGTTAGTAATTTACCTGCAGGGAACTGAACAATGTAGTTCGAGCAATTAGCCACTGATACCACTTTCAATGTTAACACAACGGTCTGCTCTCCTCTTTCTCCAGAGTTGTTAGCAACCGTTTCTAGGAGGACATTATGACATGAAGAACGACCACAGACAGAGGGCAGTAAAGTGTCAGGGACCTGCTGACATGTTTCATACCACTGGAGGTCGCTCTACACAAGTGAGAGAGTGATGATGCTTACTATTAGAGAACCACAAATTGTATAGAAAAGCTATTTCTTTAGCTTTTGTAATTTTTTATAAAAACCTTTGGTATGACTTTAAATTATTCAGCTCTTTTTCAGAAGTCAGTCCTAGAGTACAGGGTTAAATTGTGATGGGATTGGTACCGTAGACAGACAGACACACAAACGGTGGTGTTTGAGTGCAGATGGACTCCTACCATGGCTGTGCTGTATTGTATTTTGCAGGAGCGGCAGCCCTGTGCTTACTATTCGACAAGAGATGCCACGGCTGACCGGTCAGGACATAGTCAGAGCAACATTCCAACATCACTTCCACGGACATTACACCTACACAGTTAGGAATGAACTCAATGTGAAGACTTGCTTAAGTACACTAGCTGTGTTACCTGCAGATTTTTTGTTACCAAAAAGTTCAAAACACAATGGATATTTTGCAAAAGGTGTATTATCAATACCATAAGCATAAAAATAAATAAATAACATGTTTCAAACTACCAATGTCATTTCAGTGGTATAAAAAAAAATGTACAATTTTGTGGAGTGTCTACATGGGCGTGCAGGGGCCCATTGTCGGCAGCCATCGGTCCTGTGTTCCAGTGGCGCGTTGTGTTTGCTAATCCAAGTTTTGTCATTTTGTGGGGCTGATTGATCGTTGGAGGGCCCTTTTGCGGTTGTGTTGGCGCGACTGAGGGCTGTTGTGCTGATTAGAGAGGCAGTGGAGCTGGCCTTCTTGAGACTAGTTGAGTATCTGGAGCATTTGTTTAAGCCAAGGGTTGGGTTGTTTGAACTTTTTACAATTTTTCTGTACTTTTTGACTTTATGTACAATCATTAATGTGTAATGTTATGTATGACCATGGACCCAGAGCTGTTATGATCTATTCACTTTAGCAGGGATGTATTTGTATGTAAATATGTCTTTAGTGTTCTTAAGTATGAAAAATGTATGCACTCACTAACTGTAAGTCGCTCTGGCTAAGAGCATCTGCTAAATGACTAAAATGTAAATGTAAATGTAAAAAAATTCAGCAGGGCAAATAACATCAGTATAAATACAGCAATGTGTTTGTTAATAAATACATACAAATTGATAAATAAAAACACGCTACATAAGTTAATCATATTAAAGTTGTGTCACTGTTTTGATGGTCTTTGATTATCTCCTAACCATGGTCCTATGCCATAGGAAGCTTTCAGGTGATAGCTAGCTACCTTCATTCACGAAGGTCAAAATTCAACACAAAAACAAGTCAGCCTCCAAACGTAAAACACTCAAATGCATGTGAAACGTAAAAATAAAAACAGACAGAGAAACAGAAAAAAATATAGGACACTACAAAACATTGCTCTTGTAAATTAAAAAACAATTGTAAACAAAAGGAAAATGTAAGTGGTTAAAGATATTTGGTCTGTAGGATTTTGATAATAATTGACTAATACATTTGTATATCATATCACAAGAGGTGATACACTAAGCCAGAGCTTAGAACATAACTTAAATAAATAATTGCTACAAAGACAGGAATCTTAATTGGTGTTTGGTGTGTATTTCCATCTTTCATACTGTCAGTTATGACCACAAAACAAATAAAACAACATATCCTTATTAATACAGGCATAGCTTGTCTGTTTGAACTGGGTGGTATATTAAATGCTACTTTAACATATGTCACTCATTGTGACAGTAATTGCTGGGCACCGAAGCATCAAAACAAAGCTGAAACATTTAGTTCCAGCGAGAGGGTAAGCGTGACCTGCAATGACAGTGAGACCACAGTTCTTCACAGAATCAGATCCAAGGCCATTAGAATACAAGACTAGAAGGTTGTCTGAAGCAAAAGCGTCATCAGCAATAGAAAGGTCTGCTCTATACACACTCCTCTACATAAAGTGACTCATATACTCAGATATACAGTATACTCAGATCTATATACTCATTCATAGTGCTCTTTCAAGCACACAACAGTTCAGCGTTCAATCATACAGGGTTAGGATATCAGCTCGGAAAATAAAGTACATTTTCTTTCACTGTTTTTGCTGCAATGTTTTTACTATATCAACAACGTAAGAGTGAGTTGACAGTGACTTTCCTTTCATGATCATGTATTTTCTTTCCAGCTCCTTTGCCAGGTTTGACATGTGCATAATTGGGCCTACTCTATTTTCATCGAGTATCCTCTGTCCCATCACAGAGGAGCCCTAGAACCAAACTAGTACCTATACTTTATGTACTAGTACCATCTGTTGATGACACTGGCCCTCCTCATGAAAGACTGACACAAGATAAATTGGCAAATACTCAAGGAAACAATGTCAGTTTCTGAAACCTAAACACAGCATCATTGTAATTGATTGTTTAAGGACTAACACAGCACTGAAGAAAATCTCAAATCCAGCGTCCAAAGGCAACCCAAAGGGTATAAAACAGCCATGTGAAATGTTAAGACCGTCCGTCTGTCCCTGGAATGGAAAGCTAATGAGTTGGAGTTCAGTGGTGAGTTTAAAGAGAGAGGGCAGTTCCGACAGTCCAGTTCTACCATTGGTTCCCCCCACAGAGAGAGAGAGAGAGAGAGATAAGAACATGAGGGGGTTGTGTGCTTCTAATGGGCATATGTTGGGAAGGGGGGATATGGTCACAGGGTAAGGCCTCTCTTCTGTTTCTCTTCCATCTGTCATCCATCTCCCTCTACCTGATGCACTCCTCCTCCGATGGGCTGTCTGATCCCTCGTTCTCGCTGTCCTCTAGCTCGGGAAGGTCTCCCCACAGCAATAGGTTCAAACCTGCAACAGAAGACGCAGAGTTTGTGTGTGCATGTGCAGTTTAAGGAACAGTATTTTCTTGCCGACAAGCTAAGTCAATAACAAATTGGCTAAAGTAGAAACAGGCTGGCTTTCAGGCTTTGCATGTCCTCCCCAAATAATTCAACTTCTGCGTTTCTATTTTAAATTTTAGTCATTTAGCAGACGCTCTTATCCAGAGCGACTTACAGTTAGTGAGTGCATACATTTTTCATACTGGCCCCCCGTGGGAATCGAACCCACAACCCTGGCGTTGCAAGCGCCATGCTCTACCAACTGAGCTATAGGAGGGACTATGTGCTAAGTCATGAGGTAGTGGAGATCGGAAGAGTAAACACATAACGCCACACACGTTGCAATGTGGCGAGTCAGTCAGTGTTGCTTAGCCTTAGGGGGTATCGGTATCTTTTCACAAACTGTGCATTTAGGGTAATTATTCTTTACATGTTTATTACTTTGACTAAATATGGTTTAAGGACAGTCCTCTCAGAATACGGTCTGTATGGTTCCTCGATAGGTAAGTGGAGTAAATCCATTTGAATTCCGTAACTTTTTGACAGCATCCCTTTTGATAAAAAACAAACAAAATAAAAAAAACACTTTCCATATGTTTGCCCATGGAAGAAGCAGTCATCAAGTGGCTTTTTGGACCTGAACGCCAAAACATTCAGGAGATGAAGGTGCTCAAAGTTGAACCATTTTGCATACCCCACCATACCATGAGACATCCATGTCTTAATCACTGGAAAATATAAGTGGCTGAGTTTGCTATCATTTAAAAGCTTACCAATAGTGTTGACAAATTATTTTATTATTTCTTGCCATTTTTAAACCGCAATTATCTAAAAACGTGTAAACATTTTCGCAGTCATGTTGTAGCTTAGAGCCTATTTCACATAATCTTTGTTTTTTGTGTAGTACCCGCCATCGGTTGAGACACAACATCCTCTTGAATACAGGTTGGGCGCATTTAAATCATAGAAAAATAAGTAATCGAATGGACCTATCCCTTCAGACCACTGCAATTTAGCTGGTACACCATTGAAATTTAAATTAGTAACACAAAGATGACAGCCGGTCCACCCACCGTCAAATGTCAACTTAAATGATCATGTCTAATCTATTATCTATATTTCTATGATTTCCTATGTAGGATTGACAACAGATACTCCCATTCAAGTCAACATTCTCTGATGTGTGGATCTCCAACCATCTTTTTGATACCACTTGAAAGTTGACATTTCTATTGTATTCCCATTTTAGTACATTAAATCAGCCAAAACATGACACCCACCCTGTATTCAAGAGCATGTTGTGTCTCAATCGATGGCGGGTACAACACAAATAACCTTAGATGATGTAAAATAGGGTCCAAGCTAAAATATATGCGAATATTAACAAAATCAGAGTTTATGCGTTTTTAGATAATTGTTTTATTAAAAACATTTTTTTCCTGAAATTATAAAATAGTTGGACAACACTGTTTGTAAGCTTTTAAATGATATCCATCTCAACCGTCCATCTTTTCGATCAACTTTGAGCACCTTTATCTCTTGAATGTTTTGGCATTCAGGTCAGAAAAGTAACTTTCTGAGCACTTCTACAATGGGCAAGTATGTATGGAAAATGTTGTTGACCTCAAAAGGGGTTCTGTCAAAAAGTGATTGAATTCAAATGGGTTCACCCAGAGGTCAGTGAGCTTGGAGACAGTGAGTGAAGGAGTTCTAACCTGTAGCATCCAGCCTGTTAAGGGTGGACACAGCATCACTGTTAAACATCCAGAAATGGCCATTGTTACAGGACAGCAGGCAGGGCTTACATGGGGCTACCACGTGATACCCCACAAAATTACCACTGGAGAGGGGGATAGAGAGAGAAGGGGGAAGTAGAGAGAGAGAGGGAGTGGGAAATAGAGAAAAGGGAAAAATATATGGGGGAGGGAGAGAGATAGATTTAAAAAAGTCAGCGTTTTATAGCGAGCACCTGTGAAAGTGCTAACTCTATCAGTAGGTGTCTATTATCTGACCGATGTGTTTCTGTGTACAACAACAAAGCCCTGGGGATACAAAGGGTGCCTGACAAAAGCCTCACTGTACCCAACAAACTGCTGGCTGAAAAACTTTCCAACTGAAGACATGAACATTTGCAAACATTAGCATGTTTTAAGGTAAATATTAATAAAACAGCCACAACAATTGTCTGTCTAGTAATGCTATTTTGTAACCACAAATCACATAAATAATGAATGCAAACTGTTTAGTGTAATGTGAGTAGGCAAATCTGTGTTTACAATAAAGTTACATACATACCATTTCAGGCAGGCGATGTCTCTCAGTTTGCATTTGCAGCTCTCTGTAGAGTAGCAGCTGGCCACAAAGTCAACAGTTCTAGAAGAGGGGGTGGGGGGTGTTATGGGGATTGTTAGAAAGAACATAGGGGCACCAACTCATTCTAGCCATAGAGGGAGATAATGGGTAAGAACTTGTGTTGCTTTATTACGTATTTCCTATATCTCACAGTATCACAAACACTCAACATATGAAGTTATGAACACCTCCAAAAAACTGACAGTGATGAGAGATCCCCATAGAAACCATAACCGTCATTAGCTCATTTGTCACAACTCATTCCTCACATTCAGTGATAATTTCATAAGAACATAGTGGTTTTATTGCTTACCTGTTGGGCGGTATGTCAGTAGAGAATAGCTCAATTTCTGTGTCTGCGAGAAGTACTGCCTTCATTCCTCTTGTGCAGAGTAGACTCTCACAATATATGCAATTCACTTGAGTGACACATTTGGTTTTGAAGTTGGAGGTAGACATGCTCTTTAAATACTGTTCTTCTAGCTTCCGAATCCCAATGTCAAGAGGAAATGTGCGGATCAATCAATCAATCAATGTAGCAATGGTAGCTGCTCTGATGCTAATGTTATTTAAAACGCTATTTCGCTAGCTAACTAATCACTATTGTTACTAAATAGCTAGCTAGTTCGTTAGCTAGCTATCAACAGTTAGCTGGACGTTAGCAGCAGGTGAATTATAAAAGAGCCGCCACAAATCAGACGTTTCCACGTCTACTGTTATATTGGAGGTTTAGCTAGATAGCTATCGATCCTTGTTGATAGCGAGTAATGTCCTATTTGTAAGTCGCTCTGGATAAGAGCGTCTGCTAAATGACGTAAATGTAAATGTGGTTGACAACAAGCTACAGTAGCTATTTACTTGTCAAAACAGAGAGCCACAAGCTAACGTCACGAGAGTGACCACAATAACACAGCATCAGATGTTCAAAATAGCTAATGGTCTCTCGCCATTTTCAATTTATCTTCAATCTGCTCTACTCCAACGAAACAATTTCCCAGATTATTTGTTCAGTAAATCGTTGCGGTCACAGATTCAGTAAAATGTAATAGCCAGCTAGCTTCGCTGTTGTGTTTATCGTTTACAACTTCCTGGTAGCTACCGATACTTCCTGAAACATTTTAAAAACTGCACTATGTCGAATTTAGATTGGCTCTCGAGGACAAAACAGATTATCCCATTGGGTAACATAATCGTACATCTACAAACCTGATTGGGTACAAATATATCAAGACTGCCGCCTAAGTAATAATGATTCGATTCATCTGGCCCGTGTTGCACCGGGGGTAAATTGATTGCACTCGTTTTGGAAGCGGGCTGCCTCCCGGGCGTGAGCCAGGTGCACTGTTCAAATCCCACGGCGAAATCGGCTCAAAACAAAAGCGACGTAATTAAGAACGTGAAGTAATGAGTAGGATTCTGTGTTTTCACATGCAAAAGTGATTGCTTTTGATAAAAAACCCTTTATATGCCTTGCCAATGAAAACTAGTTTGAATATTCAAACATATATTTTATGGAAAAGAGATGTATGTTTCTGGACGATGCACCATGCTGTCTTGTTAACAACATGACCGAGCAGCGTAGATTACTGCTCGATTTGAGATGACGCTCCTCCCTCACCGCTTTTTCCCGTTCACATCACGGACATAGACTGGTGCCCCGCAGCTCAGCATAATCGAATTCCCAACTATCAGATATTCAATGGCGAAAGGCTTGGCTTTATCCCTTTAAATTTGTATTTTTAATAAGATAAGAGAGCTGCACCTAAATCATTTGCACAATATGTACCCCTCCAACACAATGGTGTCAAGGTTTACAGACATTGATGACAAGTGTACCTTCTGCAATGATGGATCTGAAACGCTGACACATTTGTTTTATAGTTGTTTGTACACTATTAGATTTTGGAGAGATGTGGAGGAGTACATACTGAGTAAAACTGGTCACTCTGTTGATATTAAATGCAATGATGTTATAACCTTTTTTGACAGTACTCTGAACTCTTTGAAATATATAACTAATGTCATGATTGTGGTTGGTAAATTTTATATATCCACAAAACCAAATGTTTTAAATCAACCCCCTGCTTTAAAGTGTTTTTTTTAATAGACTTTATGTTTTTAATTGAGTCTCTGAAATGACTAAATAATAACAAAATCTTGTCTACAGTCCAATATTATAATGATTATATTTTGAATAAGTGTCATTGTCACATTTTCTTATGCTGTCATAACTAATGTTTCTGTTTTTGTTTTGTTTATCTTTTATGTTCTTGTCAATTCTTGAACTCAATGACGTCTGATTGTCTGTTATATTTTATTCCCCCCAAAAAAGGCTCAGCATAATTGACTCCGCCCCTTGATTGTCGATTTCTCTTGTTTCATGAAAAGAGGCGGGGTCATTTTTGGAGAACTTGTGAGAAAGACACCCCCAAAATCTTCATATGGGACGGAAATGAAATAGGAAAGCTCGTATTTGTCATCGAAATCGACATTAGGTAAAATGTGGTGCATGCTTTAAGCAACTTGCATTGTAAAACATGTGCAATGCTGTATGTTTATAGCACACAAACAGTTAGAAAAGTGTACACTTTTGGAACTCATACGTTTGGAGAAAGACAATAAATTATAGTAGCTAGTTAGCTAGCTAGGTAACGGTATCCCAAAGACTTGGCTAGCTCGTTAGCCTTACTCTAGTCCCTAGATTAACCTATAGCTAAAAATGGCGAAATGCCTCATTCTTATAGACAGGTGAAACCAGTCTGATCGCTAAGTTCACCATTCTTTAAACTTCACTTATCTAGGGGGTGTCTGTAAAAAAGACACATTCTATATAGAATTTGACATCGTTTTTATGCTACAATTCAATGTTGCAGCCCTCTAAAGGTGTTGTCTCATGTGCATAGTTAGGCAGACGCTTTTATCCATAACTCATTGGTTGACATTGTAATATGCCCATGTTTTGCAAGCACCATAATGACTATCATTCAGTTTAAACCAATGAGATAGGCCTATTTTATAACAGTAATGGGGTTTATGTTACCTATAAATTTATACTTAGTAAACTGCTTTAGTCTGCTTACATACAAACCCTTAAAGAGATTCTCCGGTACTTTTCTATACTTTTTAGCCAGTAGTTCTGAAAGTAGCACTCACGAGCCAAAAGTAGTCCCCGAAAATTGCATACTATGTCACCTGTGCAGATATGTGCACCATGCCATTGCCCTCTCTCTTGCTCTGCTGTATGTGTATCTTGCTAGCTGTCACTCAAATGGCTAGGGGATGAAGCTCATTGGCTGAAACTCAAATTGCTAGGGGGCTGACCCACGTGGGGAAAATGTAAGGAAAATTGCACCGCACATATTCCAGAAAACAGCCGCTTTCAAACTAGGGATTTTGTGGCATATTGCGGTAAAACAGTACTCCTTCTCATAGATTATGCCTGTATGAACTATACATTGACACCCAGCCCAATGTGGGAGGTTTAAAATATACTAACTAGTGGCCAAGTTATTAATTTAGCAAATGCTCTCATCCAGAACGACTTACAGTAGTACTAATGAGTGCATACATTTGTCTGACTTTTTCGTACTGGTCCCCCGTGGGAATCAAACACTCAATCCTGGCATTGTAAGCGCCATGCTCTACCAATTGAGCCACACAGGACATGTCTTTAATAAAGGTAACATGCACTACCATCTGAGTTCCGGAGCATGTCTTTAATAAAGGTAGCCCAGTGTTATGATGTTTTCTGAGTGTTTGCTGTTCTCAAGGCACCAAAGTTGAAAACTGTGTTCTCAGGAAAATTATATTGTCAATGTCATGGACCACATTGGATTGACATATTTTGACCTTTATGTTCTCTGGCCTTTTTCCGATATTACTATTCATGGGCCCAGCATGAAACAATCTACTATCCTCCCGAGTGGCGCAGTGGTCTAAGGCACTGCATCGCAGTGCTAGCTGTGCCACTAGAGATCCTGGTTCAAATCCAGGCTCTGTCATAGCAGGCCCCGACCAGGAGACCGATGGGGCGGCGCACAATTGGCCCAGCGTCGTCCAGGGTAGGGGAGGGAATGGCCGGCAGGGTTGTAGCTCAGTTGGTAGAGCATGGCGTTTGCAACGCCAGGGTTGTGGGTTCGATTCCCATGGGGGGCCAGTATGAAAAAAATAAATAAAAATGTATGCACTCACTAACGGACTACAAAGGGAAGCACAGCCGCGAGCTGCCCAGTGAAACGAGCCTACCAGACGAGCTAACTGGATAAGAACGTCTGCTAAATGACTAAAAATGTAAATCTATTCCATCCCTTATTAGTGTGTAGGCAACAGTCAATTCACCAACTCTTAGCATCACTGTCTATTATGAGAACCACACACTGGATTTGGTCCTACACCCACCACAGACACATTGCAACACCCAGTTTGAATGATGTATAAAGGCCAGAGTATTTTATCCATACATAGGCCTACACAGTATTACATGTGTTAATGAATATGTATGGGCAAGCAATGTAATTTATGTATCAACCAAATGAATGTGACACATGCACGGTGTATGTCTGTCTCCATGCCTGCATATTGGCTTCCCAGCTCATCCATGATGTACCACACTCTCGCTCTAGGGGGAAGAGCATAGAGCCACCGAGCCAGCCCAGCCTCTGACCGTCGTGGTGACAGCCATTCACTGAAGGACTAAACTTTTTGGGAGTCTCCTCATCCGGCGTGCTGACTGGCAAGTTATTGTTGGTTTTGAGGGAATGCATCTATCCTCTGTTTGCTCTATAACTGGTTTTGAGGACACATTGAGGAAAGGATCCACACGAATGGGAATGCGGCAGCGCCAAACTCTCACAATGCGGCCAGAGTGAAGGGGCAGAACACAATACCATTCCACGGGCTGTGGGGTTACTCGCTACAATCTTTCAGTGCGGTATGCTTCCAGACGAAATATTATAGTTACTAGTTAACCCAGTATTGCGACGGCTAGTGTTTTTTGAGTAGAAGAACCAGCCATGACGTCTCCGGCCAAATTCCGAAAGGACAAGGAGATCGTAGCCGAATATGAGACTCAAGTTAAAGGTAATACTTTTCTAACAAGTTTTATATTGTTATACATGCTGTTCCTTGCGATCATGTAGGCTATCCTTTCCATAATGGCTTGTCGCATTTATTTTCCTCTTCGTGGATATGTCAACGTGTATAGGATCAGTTATTCCTGTTTAGCATACACCAATATTCAAAGTATAATAGCCTATTACTTTTACCAAAGGGTAAAAAAGTGTGGGTCCTTTGATGGGTTTAGTAGGCAGATTATTATTGTTTAATTGTCATCATAGCCTACTGCGGTGTCAAATCAAAGCGTTCTATTGATAAGAACATCTTGATAACCACATTTTATCGAGACTAGCCTACCAAACCATCATAGGTCCGCAGATAATACAAATATATCTGATAGCCTTATGTCTGAATTATGCGGTATTGGTGCGTTCATATACCGCATTAATAAGACGTTATGGGGTTTTGCTTTCCAGGGTGAGTGTTATGTGTGTAGCCTACCCGCAGGGTTTAGATTCGACATGCATGTGGAACAACGCAGGGCGTTTTCTCACTCTCGCTGCATGTTGGTGTGGTGCTGTTCTAGAGCAATTCATTTCCCAGTGTCTGCAGTGTTTCGTGTGCGAGAGACAGACATCGGGCATTCAGACCAACGTTAGGAATAGGACCAAATTGTGAATTAATGGTCTGTCGCCTCACGTGAGAGTGTATGTCCGAGGTTCACAGATGTCGCCACATAACCGGTCGACGGGAGCACGGGTGGTTTTGTCGAGTTCTTTTGACGGGGGAGTGGGGAGAGAGGTGGGCTGGGGTGGTGTTTAGCGGGTTAACTGTTCACTCGCTGATGGTT